TCATTACTCAGGCTGTTATTGTCCGCCGATTGTCTGTTACGGGCCGTCATTTCATTCATGCTTATCGGGCTATCAGTGCCTGAAGTGATTGCCTTTGCCATTGAATTTGTGTTGTTTTCCAAGTATAATATTGAGCTTTGATTTTTATATCATTACAGCAGCACAATTTTTATATGGCATCGCGGTATACTTGTGGGACGTGGCCACTGATATAGCTCTAGCTGTTAATCATTACCGCAATCATGATTATTGGTAATTAATTTTGCATTATATATAATATATTTTTATTATAAACACGCTTGTACTGTATTTTCTAACCTAACCTAACACATGCACAGGTATTTTGGTCTGACGCTGACATTTATACTGTTACCGTCATTAGTTTTGACGGTAATTATGCGGCGGTGGTATAATTATTTATATGATTACAATCATGGTAATCATCATGCACCACTGCCTATTAAACCGACCTCAGCCTGCGAACGCCATACACTAACCGCGTGCCTATGTTTGCAATTGGGACAGATGTATCGACGTATTGATATACTGGTGCATGCTTATAAATCTAGACAAACAACTAGATCATTCGAATATAGGGAACAGCATTTCAAGTGTTATTTATACAAAAAGCGCGAACTGAGTCGGGCAGGCATTATTGAGACCTTCATGGAGTCGGCCCCTCAGCTCGTGCTTCAGCTCTATATAGTGGAGATGCGTAGCACTCAGAACATTGGTGTCTTGTCAGGTATGTCTACCCACATTTGCACATCACCCTGTTACATTTTAATTAGAACGTATATTGTGGTAAATGTGATTCCACATAATTTTTAAAAGTAACTACTACATGTATAATAGGTGTGGGAGTTTTAGCATCATTACTGGGGCTCTCAATATCAGTAGTTACTTACGAAAGAATGCGTGTATGGTATTTCAATGGTAGTAAATGGAGTTTACCGGTAAGTGTTTATAAATTATACTGTACAACATGAACTGTAAATAAGTCATATTATTCTATTAAATAACTTAATTCTATCTGACAATGTTTCATTAGTAAATAATAACAATTATAATATGATTTCAGGAACATGGCGCAAATTATCTATGGCGATTGTTCGAAATCAATGCGCGCGTATTAGCCATATCGCTGTTTGCCAGCGTATTCCCAATTCACCTAGCTGTGGTCGGCTGTGTGCACTACCTGGCCATGTTTGTTTGGATCGGAGACGTCATGAGTGACACCGATCGCAAAAATAAGACATCTAGCGCACCGCCGCTCGCGACGACCCCCGATTGGCCGCCAATCAATTGGCCGGAAATACCTGAGCCAATAGGGGAGAGTCAATCGAACCAATTTACTCGTACCAGATTTTACAAAGAGCTCAGAAATTCAGCCGGGTTAGCTTTTGTACTTATATTTTGCTACCATAATCCGGATGGTAAACTAATTGAACAACGACCTATTTATTATACCATATTGTTTATCGAGAACTGTATTTTGATGGCCGTTTGGTACGCGTATTGTCCGGACGACCGGTGGTATAAGTTGATGGCATTGTACGCACATTTTGGCTGCTTTTTTCTGTGCATCACTATTTTGGTAAGCGAGTTGTGACGAGTGCTGTACATTATATTTATGTTATTTATTGCCCTTTAATTATAGAGTGTATATACTCTATGGATCCATTCCCATAGTAATAATACAACGAATTCCGAGTCTAACACTGTTGCAAATGATGGACCAATTGTATCGCCACAACTGCCTAATGGTGTATAATCAAGGCAAATGAATCCACCCGAAGTTGCAATATAACATATAATTAATATCTTTGACTATATCAATTAAAACTACTTTATAATAATTTCAATTGTATAATTGCATTATGTATGTTGTTGTTAATGCAGTGCATTTGGTGCAATAATTATTTGTCTTGGCCACATCTAATTCTCAAAATAACTGAATCTTGAGCTTATATAATGCTAAATATTATTATTAATCTTATATATTTATGTATTGAACTCATTTGAATTGAATCAAATTTTAATTTTTTGTTATATTTATAAACGAATAATATATAAGCTTTAAAAGCAAGTTATTTATAATAAAAATTAAATATTTATAAATAGTTTTATATGAGTAAAATATCAATGTTAAATATTTATCTGTCGTTCATAATAACTTTAGTATTTTTTTAACCACAATTCGATATTTAATTAATGATTTTAATTTTACAGAAATAACTATAAAAATATTAATTATACGAAATATGTTTTCAATAGTTTTGGTGTAAACATGGATCAAATTCAAGCACTTATTTAATTTTATTTATTTTGATAATCTTTCAATGAGAGTATAGATTATTTAACCGACATATTTTAAGTTAAATTATATACATGTTACATGTATGATTTTACTATACAATACAAGCCTTGGCAACATAATCTAATCAAGTATATTTTCATGATGATTATTTTTTAATTAAACAGGAAAAGAGTTTAATGCACTTTGTATTATTAAACTTTTATTCATTGATGTAAAAATAAATCTAATTAATAAAAAAAATTTAACGATCTTTCTACAATAAAATAATGTCACAAAATAAACTAACGGTGCTTTTTATAACCACGACTGACACGAATAGGGTTGAGTCGGCCATAGCTATGGGCGAGGCTTTGGTGGGCGCCGACGACGGGCATCGGGCGGTCATTCTCACTGACTATAAACTGCGGGACAAACTGTACGCAAAGCACCCGAC